TAGAGTTGGGAAAAGGGGAGACATTCCAGTATGGATAGAAAATGCGACACTTTGTACTAGGGAGTTTAGAGTTCAATGGGAAACAGAAAGCTGACCCAGGAATTACTCTATGGCTTGAAGGAATGTGTATATCAGTGAAGAGAGGTTATGCAGAAACTGAAAAGAAGGAGAAAACTCATAGACTGAAAAATCATAAAGAAGGACAAGTGGAAGAAGATTGTAAGCTGACCGATAGATAAAAATTCCACAAATATTATCAAAAGAAAGTTGTATTCATCTGTGGAATTTATTTAGTTAAAACTACAAAGTTGGAGGTACTAGCTGGAAAAATACAAGGACAAGTCAATTTTGAATGTCCGAGAAGCATAAATGAGGCATCATCATCTTTTTGAAGGGGCCACTTTCAAGGTGAACACACTTGCCTCCATGTCCTTTCATTCCTCCGCTTATAAAGCCATCTACTGGGAGAGAAATTTGATTCATTGAGTAGAGGAGAGCTTGGCTCAAAACTTCACCAAATCTATTCATTATGAAACAGACAGAGCTACTCAAAAAAGAAAAAAAAAAGATCGGGGTACTGTTGATTGTTGAAGGCCATACTAATAAACACAAAGATGTAAGGAACAAGCAAACACCATTTAAGCATTATTCAGAATATGAATGAAAAATAAACTGATGCCTAGGTTAGATGACATCAGAATGAGCCACTCTCTGGTAATCTGATTATCCTCTCCTTTATACATCCATTTCTACCATCCCAGTGAGGGAATGTTCTTGATTTACACTGGTGAGTTTATAAGGCACATGCTCATTCTAGAAGCTTCAAGAGAAGGGAAAGGCCTCTGGTACATATCCTGAGCTGAACATGTTTACGTCCAAAACTAAATAAGAATTCTTTCACTAAAAAAAAAAAAGGAGAACAGTGGATAGATAAATATAATAGGAATACTGAGTGAATAAAGTTACCTCACCTAGAACATGCTACGATTAATTACAAAGGCTAATTAGGTAGTATGAGAACATGTGACAAAAGAAATCCACAAAAATGAATTGTTATAGAATGTCACTGTAATTTGTAACAATTTACTGTTTTATTAGTGAAACAAATTTCCTATTAATTCCTGGAAGCTTTGGCAGGTCATTTCATAGATAAAAGATACAGTCCATCATTGAAATTAGTGAATGAATGTTTTTGTTTTCTTAGGAAGACAAATTTCCAAGAGATCAAATGTTGTGTTTTTGGGTAAACAGAATAGTTAAATTGATAATACATTTCCAGATGATAATTTTATCCACATTTCATTAGAGGAGTGATTCTAGCTTACACTGATAGACAAAATACATCTATTGTCCTGTAACTGGCATTTTCTTGGGCTGCCAGAAATCATCTCATCACTTCGCATGTGCCATGAAAAGGACTGAAAGGAAAGGAGAAGGAAGGGAGGGTACCATTGCAGAAGAACCTATACAGAAGAAAAGACAGTTGAGAGCAGTCCTAAGCATGCTGCTGGCTCAGATTGACTAGGGGAGCATGTCTGCTGGAGAAAAAAATTAGGGGAGGAAAAAACATTTTAGGCTCTCTAAATTATTGACGACTTCAGTATGTTGCCAGCAGTTCTAAAACAGGCAACCACAGGGCATTTGAGGATATAAATAATAGGCAATTGTTGGTATCATTTCATGGCCATTTCAAAGGACATTTATTTATTTATTCATTCATTCATTTATTTAGTCAGTCGTGAGGCTTGAACTCTGGGCTTGAGCGCTGTCCCTCAGCAATTCAGCTCAAGACAAGCTCTCTACCGCTTGAGCCACAGTGCCACTTCCGGTTTTCTAGTGGTTTATTGGAATAAGAGTTTCACAGACTTTCCTGCTAGGGCTGGCTTTGAGCTCGATCCTCAGATCTCAGCCTCCTGAGTAGCTATGATTACAGGCATGAGCCACCGGTGCCTGGCAGTCAAATGACCTTTATTACTGACCTTCCTGCCTATTGGGCTATTTCATATTTTATCTATCTTTGTTATTTTTGGGGGTCTTAATCAATTACCCAATTAATTGAAAAGAGAAGAGTTTCAGAATTAAGTGTGTGTGTTTGTGTGTGTGTGTGTGTACACAAGTGCGTGCACACACACATATAAAATGGTCCTGGGCATCTCAGGCTTCCTACAGAATTCATTGTTTAAGGCTGGCCATCTACCACTTGAACCACACTTTTAGTCTGAAATTTTGGATATGGAGTTTCATGGACTTTTTTTTTTTTCTGCCCTGGCTGGCTTTGAACCCATGACTCTCAGATATCAGCCTCCTAAACAGCTAAGATTGCAGCTATGAGCCACCAGCACCCAGCTTCTTATCCCTATTGATATAAATTATATATTCTTTCCAATATAGAAATAGGAAAGCTCATGAGATAAATATTCATCATTGAAATGGTCTTGAATTTAGAAAATTATGTGTAAATATTTTGTGCATAATATTTATATATCCAAAAACAATGGTTGTCTTTTGGTGCTTTTTTGTTTTCCTATGACATTTTATTGGGTGAAAAAAAAAGATTAAAAGACCAGCTGGACAAATATATAAATAATTTGAGGAGTAAGAGTTTTGATGGCTGCTTGAGTTAAAAATTCTCTTTTAGCTTGGCGCCGGTGGCTCACGCCTCTAATCCTACTTACTCAGGGGGCTGAGATCTGAGGATTGCGGTTCAAAGCCAGCCCGGGAAGGAAAGTCCGAGAGACTTTTATCTCCAATAAACCACTAGAAAACCAGAAGTGATGCTGTAGCTCAAGTGGTAGAAAGCTCGCCTTGAGCTGAAGAGCGCAAGGACAGCACCCAAGCCCTGAGTTCAAGCTCCACGACTGACCAAAAAAAAACAAAAAACAAAAGCAAAAACTCTTTTATGGCATCATACAGTGATTTTCACATATTAGGAGCTTATTGACAAGACCAACTTTCAAAACATAAGAAATGTTATAATATACAACCTACAAGAATACTAAATTTTTGTAAAAAGTATTTTATATATGTATACACTGACCTGCTGCTCTTTTGATAATTACAATATAAAATACATGAATTCTGAGATTTTTCAAGATAATATGAATTAGTGACTATTGTAGATTCCTTATTTCCTCTACTTTTTGTCTTTGCTCAATTATCCTAATATGATTATACTGAAAAGACAAGTTTCAGGAGTTCTTTTGTTTTGTTTTTTTTGTCAGTAGTGGGGTAGAACTCGGCCTGGGAACCGTCCCTCAGCTCTTCAGCTTACGGCAAGTGCTCTACCACTTAAACCACAGCATCACTTAGGAGTTCTTGTTTTACATTTGTATAGTATTTTTTTAACTTTTTTAAGGTCCAGGATTTTACTGCCCTTAAAAGTTTTTTTTAATTTTTTAGTATTTTTTTATTGTAAAGAGGGGTTACAGTTACATGAACAAGGTAATGAGTCAATTTCCTATCGAGCATTGTTACCTCCTCCTTTGTTTTTCCCCTACCATCACTTTCCTCCCATCTCCCCAACTCCTCCCCCACCCCCAAAGTTGTAAAGTTTGTTTTCAGCATAGAGTCTTGTGCATCTCATTGTTACAATGGTCATCCTGTATCCTTATTTCAGCATTTTGTTATTTCCCTTCCCCTCCCCAAATATGTATACAAGATGCAGGACACCAGAAACAAATACAGTGGCAAAAGGGGTTATACCATGGGGGAAGAACATACAAAGAAACAAAAAAAAATCACATAGTACATTATAAGTACATTAAAAAGAACAACAAGAAAGATAAAATCTCTTGTTGTATAGGTATTTTCAAGTATAATTCATTCCTTCCCATAGGGAAGAGAAAGAGTCTTAAGATAAACATGGTATGACCTGGTTGTCTTAAACATAAAATTAATTTTGGAGCTGAAGGTGGGTCCTCATACTATGATAACAACTACTCAAGAGACTGAGACTGACCATTGAGAGTCAAGTTTCAAAGCCAGTCTGAGCAGAAAAATTCATGATTCCCAAATCAAATTAACCAGCAAAATGGCGTGACTCAAGTGGTAGAGCCTCAGCCATGAGCAAATTCAACAAGTGAGAGTGAGAGGTCTTGAGTACAAGCCCTGAAACAAAAGGAAAACTATCTTTAATAGGTCTACATTACTTGTTTTCTGTTATATAGTCCAGATTTTCATTAAATTATACTAGCAAACAGAAATGAATTACTTTTATTGACAAGAGAAAAACCTAAATACTTTTCAAACCTTGTTTCCAGCTGAAAATATTGTATATATCTTATAGGCTGAAAATTTACTTTGATTTATTGTTAAAGAAAAATATTCGTGTAGTTGTTGCCTTCTTATAGCTTTTCAGATCCTCCCATTTACTAAATCTATAGTATCTCTAAGTAAGTTACTATAAAATAAATATTATTTGAGGAGCAAGAGTTTTGATAGATGATTAAATTAAAAATCCACTTTTATGGCATCTTACTGTGACTTTCACATATTAGGAGTTTAATGACATGATGAACTTTAAAAACACCATAAATGTTGCAAAGTATATCCTATGAGAATACCAATATCTTATGCCAAGTGAATTTAACCAGTCACAAAATTAACTATTATGATGTCGCTTACAGGCAGTGCCTGTAGCAATCAGATTCATAGAGACCAAAAGTAGACTGGTGGGTACCAATGGGAATTTAAAAAACCAGTCTTTTCAGTCTTGCAATGAGAAATGATAATATTTTAATGTTAGTTCAGTAATAACATACCTGTCACCATAATTAAAATCTTCACTGTAAATGAAAGATACACACCAAGCACTGAGCATAGACCCAAGAGAATTATTATCTCAGTAATTGCTATCTGTTTTGTTCCTAGGGCCTAAATGTTTCAGAAAGTCAAAAGAACAATCTGAAATAATACATCTTTTCTATGGGCTCATGAGTATAGCTAATGGCATAACCAACTTACATTCTTAACATATTTAATAAACAAGTTTCTTATTTTAGGAGGAATTGTGGATAAGGACCTTCGTCACTACCTCAACTTACGATTTCAGAAGGGTTCTGTGGACCACGAACTTCAGCAAATTATTCGTGACAACCTCTACCTCCGCACAGTGCCATGTGAGTAAAACGAAGCAATGTTATATTCTTTGCCTTAATGAGGAAATATGCAGCTATATATCAATTGTGTAAAAGTTAAATAATACCAATTTTAATGATTGTTACCTGAAGCTGAAAACAGATTTGAGATAACAAAATTTTAAGTACAAGAGTACTTATAACCATAGTAACATGGTTTATGATAAAGTTGTAGAGAAAGGAGACCTTTAATTTTTAAGCTACAAAATCTAATTTACACATTTCAAGTTAGTACTGAGAAATACCAGCTCCATTTAAGACTTTGGTAGATCAGAGTGAACCAACATTGAATTAAACCTCCACCCCAGGAGTCAGGAGAATGAAAATATAATGCATTAGTTGAGAGAGAGATTTTCAAATTGAATCTACACAGTAACTCCCAGTATCACCTCTGGTTTTCAGCAATGGAAGCCCCCAATTGGAAAGGAAAGTTTACATGGAAAAGTGAAGGGTAGCCTCCTTTAGTTAAGAAGTGATGATGTTGCCCAAATTTCTTACATGCAAAACTATAGAAATCTGCCAGCCTCTGGCTAAGATCCGAGGATCTTGGTTCAAAGCCAGCCTGGGCAGGAAAGTCTGCGAGACTCTTATCTCCAATAAACCACCAGAAAACTGGAAGTGGCACTGTGGCGCAAGTAGTAGAGCACTAGCCTTGAGCTGAAGAGCCGAAGGACAGTGTCCAGGCCCAGAGTTCAAGCCCCATGACTGACCATCCTTGATTTTTCTTTAAAAGATAGGAATTTATAAATTTATAAATGCTACAAATCACCTTTTTTGTCCCTCATTTGACCATCTTGTATTAGCATTAGGACAAATGGATATCAAAATCCATTTTCTTTAAGGGAAATATTAGGACCTGCAAAGACTTCCCACTCCTGAAATCCTATAGATATTATGGGTATTCCTTATTTTAGTTCCACCCTAAAGTTCAATAAGTTCAAAACTATGGACCCTGGGGACTAACTTAAGCTCTTTAAAACTTAGCTTAGATAAATGAAAAAAAAGCAGAAAATAGTAATATCTAGGATGGAAAAACCAGATGAGTGATCATATGGAATATTGAAAGCACATCAAGGTGGGAAGATGCCAGGTAACCACTCAGCCTTTTTCATCTATACATCTTTTAGGATGGATAATCTCATACTATTGTTAGCACTGAATATTCACCGCAATAAAAATGCCACAGTACAACTCTCAATAATTCCTAAATGAGAATGCTTGCTGATGGACATTTTGTTCATTAAAATCATACTTTTTTCCAATGTGTGCCAGTTAAGTAAGTAGACTTTCGAGCCCTTGCTTTAAAACTAGAAGTTGGGAAAAGTGTACTTGTAAACTTGTGAGTTTGACATTAGAGTGATTGGCAGAAGAAGATGGATTAAAGTAAGTGACTGGACTATTTATAAGGTAACGGGTGGACACATTTTCAAAGCAGTGATGTTGTCAGAGCAGCTGTGTGAATTTATCTTCTGTGACATGAAAGAAAAGTGATCTGAAATACTAAATAAAGAGTCCAGGTACTTTATTATGTTGCAAAGCTAAGGGAAATAGATAAGAGGCTGACATTCAGAAATACATATGATCCTTACTAAGGTGATGACATAAATAAGAAAGTCTTAATTAAATGTGAAGATAATAGAAGAAAATTTTGCATTAGTTAATTAGCTTTTTAAGGCATTTCCTTTGGAGTACCAAATAAAGACTATGGAGTAAAAATTATAAGGATAAAGTAACTAGACCCATATGAGTAAACATGAAGTTTCAAGATATGATTTTGATACAAGGTCATAAATTCAATTAGAAATCTTTGAATAGCGCCTGTAAATGAGATAATTAGAAATGCAGTGAATCCTATTATTATGATAAAACACTTATTCTTTGATTTTCAGCCACTACTCCTAATAGCCAGTTCTAATGACACCATTTACTACCAATGTTTCTAACTTGGTAAATGACTTTTAAAAAAAGCTAAAAATAATCTGAACTAGAGATAAGTCTGACATATTATTAAAAGTTCTCTTTGTGCTGAAGAACTGGACCTGGACAATTTACCTTCTTCAATCATTATATCTTTTAATGAAGCATGCAGACATTTTCAGAGACTAAGTTGTAAAAATGTCAGTAGAATGAAAAATTCTACCATGCCTTAGAAGCTTACATGTATATCCAGCATATTCGTTGCTACTGAATATGAAATCACAAGTCTTATACATTCTCCTAGGTCAAAATATTCTCATAGATTTTTATAAACCCAGCAGAAAGGAAAATAACTACTACTCAAGAGCCTACCATTGCTCCTGGACATACATGCATTGAGAAGTATGTGTTTGCCTTTGCTTAAGGTAACAGTGGTTCTAGAAATAGATTATTGTTAACTGCATTGAAACAAAAGTACAATCATCTGTATCCACACAAGGGTGGATTAATTATTTTCACAATGCCACACCTGAATGAATTCTAGTTGAATTTAGGACCTTGTAAAAAAATCTTATCTTGAAACTTTTTTATGTTTACTCATATAAGTCTGGTCTGCTACTCTCCCAACTAAAAAGTGCAAAGTCTTGAAACCAGATTTCTTTCGTGTCAGTAACAGAATATTCTGTACTTAGATGGCCAGAGAGACCTTCCTGTTCTTTCACACATGCATACACTTAGTCACATCCAACTTTGGACAATTTAGTTTCTATAGTTACCTCTGAAGGAAACGTCTGGCTGTTGGCTGATTTCAGAGCTAATTGGAGGAAACAGGTAATAAATCCAGGTCTCCCTTATGCTTGATTAACATACGATTCAAAATCCTATTCATAACCAAATGTTGACTGTGTTTAGCCTTTTCCTTTTTGCTTGAGTAGAACTTTATTCTGAGAACCTAATTATTCAAACAATATTTTATAAAAAGTAACTCTCAACATGGAAGAAATATTCAGTCATTAACAGATTGTCATATATACAGCAAGCATGGGCACCAATAAACAGACACACACACACACACACACAATCCCAATCACTGATGACTTCCGTTTGACATTGTTTAAAATCAGATCACAAAGAGAAACTCCTTTGAAACTGACTGAGAATTTTCTGTAGGTCATAAATTTGTCACAAGATTCATCATATTCACTGAAGATCCAAAGTTGTGCTTGTGTATTTGACTTTGCTAATTTGACAATGAATCAGGGAATAAAAGTTTCTAGAGAACTTTGATGCCATAAAACTTTAAGGATAATTGTTTTTAAGTAAAGATGCACCGTGAACATGCAACTTTTAAGTGAAGAAGCTACTAACTTTTAAGTGAAAATATTGAACAAACTGAAATCTATTGGGTGTCAGTCTATATCAGATTTTTGTGTAATTGAGCTTTAGAAGAAATGTGTAAATGATAATGAGACAAACTTGTTTTTGCTTCGAATGTGATAAAGACTAACCAGGAAAAAAATCACATAGATAAAGGACTTGAAGGAGTCTAGGACATCCATCACATGGAGTTCCAATTACCCTGATACTACATAAAAGGCAATTTCAGTACTAAGGTAGCAGAATTTGTTTAGAGATTAGAAGTTACATGGTTTCATCATAGCCTGATAAATGTACATGGTTAAAGCAGTGTGCATCCTTCCTTGAGTAATATTGATTCAAAACTTTAGGGGAGAAATTAGCAGAATTACTAATGAAAAATATTGGACTGATTTTCAAATGTGTAGAGAATAAAGGTGGAGTTTATTTTTGTTTAAATATTCTACTGAGCGTAATAATAGAGTGTATTTACTTCTTGAGTCTTATCAACCACAATTAAGTTGACCATGCTTTTTAAATAATCACTGCAATTATTGGTAAAGTTCTAGTCCTTTCTATCCTTAGCACTTATTGAAATCACAATTTTTGAGGCAAGCATGAATACAGATATAAAACTTATAACATTTTCCCCACTGTACCAGATGCCATAGAGATGAAATTTAAAAACAAATTTTAAAAGTTAAACTGATCTCTCAAGACTACATTTTGTCATGTGATAAGATGGCTTTCTTTATTGGTAAATATTTTCAATTTACTTGAAGTAAAGAGAGATATCAGTGTATATCAAGTAAAAGAAAATATCAATAAAACTAAAATCAAAAACTATTCCATAAAAAGTGAATAAAATTGAAAACACAGATTTCAGATATGACATGAATTACTTTTTGTGGGAGACTTGATTGAAGTATAACTCATGGTGAAGTTTCAACATATTCAAGCACTTTATGTTGGTAAAACTGAGTCAAAGATCAAATTGTAAGATTTCTACCTTTGAAAAATCTTTACACGTATGATACATTATCTTTCACAAAGAAAAGTTAGAAGCAGACTTCTTAAAAGATGTAGGAAATTGGGGCTGGGAAGGTGGCTCAGTGGTAGAGTGCTTGCCTTGCATGCATGAGGCCCTGGGTTCGATTCCTCAGCACCACATAAGCAGAAAAAAAAAGCCGGAAGTGGTGCTATGGCTCAAGTGGTAGAGCACTAGCCTTGAGCTGAAGAACTGAGGGACAGCGCCCAGGCCCAGAGTTCAGACCAGGACCAGACCCCCCCCCCAAAAAAAAAAAAGATGTAGGAAATTATCTCATCCTTGGAGCAATTGCTAAAATACAAAAAGATATAGCTATGCAACTGTTCAACATCGCCTTGTGCCCTTTGCTACCTCATATACAACTATGGTTAGAAAGGACTATTGAGGACAGGGTAGTTGAAGACGTTATCTACTAGAAAGTATGAGATTGAAAGTGAGCACTTTAATATACTGCCTAAAGGGAAGCCATTTTAATTATTTAGCAAAAATAGAGCTCCTTAACAGCTTGTGAAAATATGTGAGTAAGTCAATATGTCATGGTAGAGATGAGCAGATCATTCTAACTACTTTTAATTTTAACTATAAAAGTATATTTCACATTCTGAAATATAAAGGAAAAAATGGTGGCAACCTGCAGATTAGATTACCAACATAAACAAAT